TGTGGATACAGCAAGTCTCCCTTAGAAGCCTCCTCCCTGCAAAACTTTCAGCCTGTGTGTTTGCAAGACATTCATTCATTCATTCATTCATTCATTCATTCATTCATTCATTCATTCATTCTACCAACTGAGTGACTGACAATATTAAAAATCATAAAAAATACAGGAGTAATAAAAATCCATCAAAGTAGCAGGAACACACCTAACACTGATAGCACCAGGCACACTAATTCACATAATACATACTGACACATACAGTACCCTGGCCCAGTGCCTGAAGGAAGAGCCATGTCTTCAAGGCCTTTCTAAAGGCCAGTAGGACCAGGACCATACAGGACACAGGCCATGCTTCCTGTGTCCTGCAGGATGGCACTGTTTAGATGGACCCAGAGCATGCCAATCCTGTCTGATCTTGCTGGGTGGGTAGAGATAGTTGGAGATAGGCAGTCCCGCAGTGTCCTGGTCCTGTGCCATGAAGGGCTTTATAGGTGGCAACCAGCAGTTTGAATTGCACCCAGAAACTGTATGGGAACCAGTGCAGCTACAAACAGTATTGGTTTGATATGGGCATACTAAGGTGTACCCATAACTACCTGCATTGCTGCAATCTGGACCAGCTGTAACTTCCAAATAGTTTTCAATGGCAGCCCCATGTAGAGCACATTACAGTAATCTAGGTGGCTGCATTTTGGCAGTGGTATTGCATTTCCTTTCCCTGCTTGCTTCCGTGGTTAACTCATACCCCGGGCAACAGTTAAGGCTGGCTGACTTTAAAGAGAGCTGCAGTGAAGTATGAAACACATTAATTGAGGTGGTAGGTCAACCGTGATTGCTCACCAACTCCCAAAGAAATAATTTTTCGACTGATGTCATGGCTTGAGGAGATGGCTGGTAACTCAGCCTCTCAGCTGAGGACTTCCTGGTTTCGTTCCAAGCTTTGTCCAGGGAAAAGCACATTTTGACAGAGGGAAAGCTCAGAAAGAGTACTTGGTCTTCCACATGGATGCCCGGTTGAGCTTGCCATGGCATTCCCCCAAAGTTTGGCAAGTACGATTGCAGAAGCAGGCCACTGGTCCCTTCCCAGTGTTTTGCCCTTTGGCTTACATTACCCTCAGCCAGGATGCCCAATGGCAAAGGAGTGTGGAAGTGGTATTAACAAACATCTGAAGGACACCAGATGGCCTACCCTCCTGCTGTACCGTCATTTTCATGACATCCACTAAAATCATATAAGAAAACATACGCCTGATTACTACTGAGGCAGACCATCAGTTCCTGTAACTCGGTTATGTCCATGGTTGGGTGTTGGTTCTCCAAGGATTGGTCAGACATGCTTTTCTTAGTCCCTTTAGTTACTATGTTAATGCTACATGCTGAAAGTGATTTTTGAAGCAAGTTTGTCTTCTGAGTTCAAATGTAGAGGAGGAGGACTTTCAGCTAATTATTAGGACATTCTGACAGGGGAACAGATGGCTTAGGAAAGGTGGTCAGCTTTCTTTTGTCAGATTTTCCAGCAGAGATTAGGAATCTGTCCATTAGGAATTGTAGGGCAATGCATTTCATGCACTTGCAGGTAATTGGTCTTACTCCCAGTTCTGGATTACTGTGACATTCTCTGCCCAGAGAGAAGGTAAAGGGTATGTAAAGAAGATAGGGACAGGTAGAGGAATGAAGAGAATTTAGCACAGACAAATGTTTTCATAGCAGCTTCAGTACATGGTCATCTTAATTCCCTCTGTGGATAAAATGTTACCCATGCATCATTTACAAAATACATCAGTGTTCCCACAATTACCCCTCCAATGCTGGAGGGTTGATTGGTTGGTGGAATATCTGCCGCCAAACAAGAAAAGAGTCTTGTAACATCTTTGATGGTATGCTTGTTTTGAACGTCTTAAAATCTAATGGTGTGATGGTTGTGAGTGAGACTCCATCTTTCCCATAGTGCTAGCCTCTGTTGGCAAGTATATACAAATGGGTATTCAACTGGGGGGGGGGGAATCCTCTGTCCCCTCCAGTAATTTGCACAATTCTGTATATTGCATAGCTGTACCCTAATCAATTCTTACTCTAATTGGCAGACTCTAAAGCGCCAAAGTCACCTGGCCCTCTGCTTCTTCAATAGCCTCTTGGCCCACGCAGATCTGCGCAACAACAAACTCAACCAGCTTGCGGTTAACCTGTGGAACCTGGCTCAGAAACACGGCTTTGCTGACACCAAAACCACAGTAAGGAGAGACAGAACACAACTGGCACCTAAGGCCAGGGTGGTGATGATGGAAGGCCAATCTCTGCTTAGTTCATAAAAATAGTCCTTGACTTGACAGAAGAAGCTCTTTCATCTGTGTAGCCTTTCATCCAATTCAGCTGTCAAGTTTTGTTGTTTGAAAAGAAATCTGGGTAATAATTTCATGCCTGAATCACTGGACCTTAAAAACACCCTTTAGGCTGATGCGGAGATGCATAACCATTCAATGTTCACTATGTTTTTTTCCCCTTTTCCCTTTCTAGGTCAAAACCTTGGAATACATCAAGCTGCAAAGCAAGCATCCTGAACTGAGCCATTTTACAGAGCTGGTGCTACGCCTTCCTTTGCAGTCAAGAACCTAATGAACATGGATTCATGCAGCTCCGTCTGTGGAAAGATAGTTCTCCAAGCCCTTTAAACTCCAAGCTGCCTTGTATCAGTATCTTTTCATTTTAAAGTGTCCCTCAGTGCATGGCAGATTTCTTTGGTTGGAGAACAGAAGGTAAATTTTCCTGGTGGTACAGTCACTTTTTTTTTAAATGAGGTTTTGTTTCCCACTACACAGCTGTTAATCATTAAAAGTTGACTTTAATGCTAATGTTGGGTCAGTGAAATGTTATCTTAATCATTGCAGAGTGGAAAACATAACTTTTAAATCCAAATTTGGCAGACTTGCAAAGAAAAGAAAGATGATAATTTGTGTTGACGGGGTGAGGGAGAAAGGCAGTCCTTACTAGCTTTGAGAAATGGGTAAGCTAGAATTATTTTATATCTTCAAAGTATATGTTTTGAAACCACCTATTCAAGTCATCACAACTGAAAGAACGTTCACATTTGTGATAAACGTTGTGAAGTACTGGAAATGTATGCATTCACAGTACAGATCAGTTAATTCACAACACATTTCTTTTAAAATGCATTTAAAAAGCTAGGAGGCACTTATATTCAGTATTCATCTTTCAAAGCAGTCCTTAGCTGGCTATTTTTTAATCATTATGCGTAGTTACTATGATGCAGTCTTCATCTGTTTAATTTATAATTGCCAGGGAGTGAATGAAGAGTTTTGCCTTTAAATTACTAAATGATGTAATCCTTTGAGAACAGGGGAGCAGCATTTTAAAACAGAGAAAAATGTGCACGCTAGTTCAGTGCCACCCGACAAAGCAAAAATGAAGTCCCTAACTGCAGAAGCTGGCATTCAAAATAAGCAGGAATGCAGTTAATCTCAGCTTTAACCCTGATTTTGCATAAATGTTAAGGCTGGATTCGAGGAAGGATCTGAAGGAAAAAGGTGATGTCATACCAACTGTACAAAGTGAGGGGAGGGAGTTCAAACAGAGAAGAAAAGGAGAGTACATGAGGTCATGAGATTCTGTTGCAGAATCCTTTGACCACAGTAGCTCATCAAAACCCGCTGGTTGCCCCCTGAAAACATGAGGCTCTCTCCACTGGCACAGTGTTCAGGGCCATACAAAACAAATATCCCAGCATTATTTTTGCAGCATAAACTCCATGTTCTTTCTGAAGTTCACTGCAGTGCTTGCCCACCCTGTCTTTTTGGTCCCGGCTTCCCCCTGTCATCTCTTTTCCAGTCTTACTATTCTCAGCCAGCAGGGGAATTCTGGGACTTGATGTTCACACATCTTAAAAGTTGCCAAGTTTGAAAAACACTGATTTAGATTGACATGGCTGCCCATTCAAATGTGCAACTCTGGATGGTTTAATGAAAAACCACTACAGTTAATGAACAATTTAAAAAACAGCACAAATAGCCCAGCTGTGAGGGGCTTCATAGGCAATAACCAACAGCTTGAATTGCACCTAGAAGCCCAGTGGGAGCCAGTGCAGCTTATAAAATAGAGGTTTTACATGGGCATACTTAGGCACACCCATATGCGCTGGTGCATTCTGGACCAGCTGTAACTTCTGGGTCATCTTCAAGGGTGGCCCTGTGTAGAGGTGCAAAGGTGTAGCTTGGCTAAGGATAAAGGTTATCATCTCCCTGTAGATACAAGAACATTTACTTTGAGATACCACTTGAGAAAGATGGATTGTAGAAAAAATTTAATAAAATTGATATAAGCTTTTCTCCCCTGGACACAGTCACTATATGATAGATGAGCACAAAACCAATCCCAGGACTATAAATTAATATAGTCATTTGTCCATGTGTATTTTTTCCTGAACCTGCCCCCTGTTGAATTTCAAAAAGGATATTTTGGAAAACTCAATTATGTTGCTAAAACAAACCACCCTGTCATTCAATTAACACTAACCTGGGTAAGAAATGGGAATGTTAAATCAACTGGTATTCATCTATAAGCGTTGTAAGCAATGACACAACCTTGAAATAGTATAGCCTTTGCTAACTTGATTTGCAGAATTCATGGCCGTGTGATCTAGTAAATCTCAATACTTCATCTCCCAGAACAGACTGAAAGTATTCTCAGAATAACCTCACCGAGGCCAAGAGAACAAGTGTGTATGTGTGTGCGTGCACATGTATATATCATATATGGCCTGGGTGGACAAGATTATTGGTCAGAGGCTGCATTTAAATTTCCCCCATCCTTAAACAGGCCACAGGGAGATCTTATTTATTTATTAATAGATTTATATCCCACTTATGTATCCCACTTTGAGTTGTATAAAAATAATAGTCCCTCCTCCTCTTTCCCCCATGAGAACAACCCTGTGAGGTGGGTTGGGCTGAAAGGGAGGACTAGCCCCAAATCACCCAACCGGCTTTGATGGCTAAGGGAGGACTGGAACTTGGTCTCCTGGTTTTTAAATCCAGCACCTTCACTACTAGACCAAGATGACAGCGATGGGACTGGAGATGCCAGGGCTGGTAGGGAGACAAGACTTAACAGGCCTTAACGTACCTTTTGGGGTAGAGGGAATTGTTTGTTTTGCATCTGGAGTAGAAAAAAATTGAACAGACAAACCTCACATTCTGTCCACAAGATTCAGTGGCTGATACGGAAACTTGAAGGTTGAAAAAAATGGTGGCAACCTGTAGGCAATCCACATGTTGCCACCTCTGAAGTTGGAGCTAAACTAGGCTATATTCTTGCCTGCCACTTATTTAGCTATACTGTTATATGACTCAGTAGCTCAACTGCCCATCCCAAACTCATCATAAGTGGCCCTTTAAACCTGCCAAACAGCAATTCATTACAAATATATATATATATATATAACATTACAAATACGTGTGGGTGTGTATATGCATATTCGCACACTAGCAATATCTAGTGATCTCAAGTATTGTAGAGGCCATCTCTCACCTGTTTGAAACAGCATCTGAGTCAAAATCCAGGGTCATTTTCTTGTCGTAGGTGAAAAATATTAAACCTCAACCTGTTTGGGCAATTTGTTCTTCCCTTCCCAACATGTCAGTCTTCAAATTTAATAGATTTTGAAGTGTATTTGTCTATGTGTACATGGCTTGGGGCAGTGGGCTGGAACCCCAGGCCGATACCTCGATGGTGCTTAAAAGCAACGGCTTTCTCGAATTCTGCCTGAAGGTTATGTTGCAGTTCTTGTTCTCTGCTCCGATCCAGAGCCATATTTGGTTTGATAATATTTGCTGGAGAAGTCTGCGATGACGCCGTGCCTTTTTTAAATCCACCCATCAGTCTGAGAAACGTTGCCTTTTGCTCTGAAGTTTCAAATGTTGCTGTGCTCCACTGGCCAAAACGGTTGTCCTGAAGAGCAAGGAGGAAAGTTTAGCAGGCTCCATGTAGCTAAATTCTTTTAAAAGGAAGAAGATTTAAGTCATTCAGCAACAATCAGTGCACCGGTGGCAGCCCAGAGTCCTGGTCTCTGTCCATACTCCCTCGCTTTCTCCATTTTGATTCAATTGGAAATAATAGTCAATCATGAAAAAAAATCTAATTAAAAGTTCCACTGTCAGCAAGGCCTAGAAGCTCATACTATTTATGTTCCATAGTAAACAGGAAGTGTTGTTTTTGCACAAAGACATCACAACTAATTCTCCTAAGGAAATAGAAGGGAGGGGGGAAATGCCACTTTTCAGGATCAATGGCAAGATTTACAATTTGCCAGAGGCCAGACACTACTGATATGCTTTTAAAGTCTCTAGGGGCTGGACTAATTTGCCCTGTGACATGACCTCAGGTTTCCAATCAGAGATTGATGGATCAAGTCATGGATGCAACTAGTGTGGTAAGCTGATAGCATTACCAAACAGCTCCACCCAAACTGACTAGGCCCAAAAGGAGCGCACTCACCGGTTCTTCCCTGACAATCTTGGTTTTGCCAGATTCCCGGTCAATCTCTTCTTGCAGTGCTTGGCGTCTCACCTGAAGCAAGAAAGAATGGATTTGATTTCGGTGCTCCTGTGGAAAAGCTTGAGTACAATTGGAAAGAGAAGCTGCTAAGGACTGGCAAACATTCCTTTGGGGATCGTTTCTTTCTGATCCAAAATAAAGCGCCCACTTTTAAAAATTCCTTTACATATGTGCCATACTAGCACGCCACGTACTGATGTTATTGAAGATTAAGGGAATCTCCATGAAGACAAAACTAAGAAAAGCTGCACTGGCACAACACGCTACCCTTTGTAGCTTATAACAGCACTTGCGAAGCCAAAACGAAGCAAATCACACAATCTCTTCACCCAGAGGTTCTCAAACTCTCCGGTGCCCTGACCCTTTGATGCCCGCAAACGCACCCCAAATGCAATTTTTTCAGTATAGAGGTCAGTGCAGATTGAGATGTATGTATTGTATTTATTTACATACAGTTGTATGCTGACTACTCTCATGAATCTAGGCAGCTCTAAATAGGCGAGAAAGCAAAGGAAAAGAAATTCATACTAAGCCTGCCTGGTTTTTTGAGACTTGTGGACATTCACACTGCTCATCATGCACCAGTTCCCAAAATTCCCTTCCGTACAAAAGTCTCACACGGCTTGAACACTGTGCATCCGGAGGGCAAGACGAGGTGACGGACAACACAGGGCTCCTCTGCATCAAAACCAGCCCTCATCCGACAAGTGCTACCATAACGAGATCCCAACCCAGCCATAAGATAAGAAATTATTATACCTTGTCTATGTTCACTTCATCACAGTTTCCTTTTCTGAATGCCACCAGTTTTATTTCGTCTTCTGTTTCCTGTTTTTTAAAAAAAGACACAATACCGCTGAAACCTCTTAATGGTTGAGTATGGTAGGGTAAAACCTCGCAGTCCTTCTCCCCAATCTGGTTTCGCACTACATTTCCCATATGCCCTAGCAAACAGGATCCAGATCCTGTCTGGGCCGTTCCACTGTTAAGCAGCACCTGAATTCCAAATGCTTCAGAACCGTAAATAGGTGGCCATACCTAAAAGGACAGAGGATATGTTTGACAGCCAATTCCAAGAAGTCTTCCTCTTTATGTTAAACTGTTTGGGGTACAAGATATGTGCAAAGCAATAAAAGGCCAAGGGATATCGTACAAATCACAGAAGCCATTCTCCAGCAGACCAGATAAAATAAAACTGACTGAAGCCTTTCAGCTTTCCAAATGAAAAGGTTGCTAGCATACGTTCATTGAAGCAGTTAAAGTGTCAGCCCGAGCATGAAATAACTTGGAGATATTAAGATGATGATTTGCAGCACACCAGTGTCTCAGTGCAAAGAATAGGTTGTACTGGATGATATTTGGACTATGATTAAGTTGTGGAGATGCTTGCTTCTCTGGGGAAGCATCCCTTCCCTGCTATTACAGCTAGATGCAGCTTAGGGCAAGTCCTCCAGCAAGGATCAACCAACCATCCCGTCAGCAAGGCCACCTTTATTTATTTTAGCTCCTTTGCTTATGTGGCTTTCTCTTGGTGTTCAGCGCTGCTCAAAGTATAAAACCACATTTCCCCAGCCCCTTTTATAGACCACACAAGAAACTGGAATGCACCAGCACTCAGTACTTGAAGGATTCCACTTTTTTATGGGGATTATAGGACTTAACTGAGCCTTCGCTTCCATAAACAATCAGAGAATTGGAACACCCTTGGAATTTATGCCAGCAAAATATTACCTGTAGGTTTTTCTACAGTTTTCTCAAACCATCAGGTTTCTAAGATGGCAATGCTGACGCTTTTGGGCCAGAACTGCAGCAAACAGAAGGCCGGGGCTTTGAAAAACAAGGCACCGAAGGCAAAGGAGTTTCTGAAGCAGAGGCCAGTAATCTGTGGAGGGTGGGGATACAGGCCACCCTCCAATCAGTTTTGGCAAGGCTTCTGATTACAGATAGTCCTCACTTAACAACCATAATAGGGACAGAAAATTGGTCATTAAGCGGGGCAGTCATTAGTGAGTTACTATGTGACCAGACCCGATTTTACGATCATTTTTACGATGTCTGTAAAGCGAATCATGTTGTCGTTAAGCGAATCCAGCTTCCCCAATGGATGTTTTTTGCCAGAATTCACTTAACCATATGATTCCTCATAAAAAAGGTCGCAAATCGCGATCACGGGACCATGGGAGGGGTGACAGTTGTAAGTGCGAGTACAGGTCATAAAGCACTTTTTCTGAGGCTGTTGTAACTTTGAACCGTCTTTAAACGAATAGTCATTAAACAAGGACTACCTGAAATGGCTAGGGATGTACTGCAAAGTGGCTTCTTCATGCATGTTGCCTGTGTGGAAAGGGCCAGGATTTTTATTTTTGTTATTTTGGTGTTTGTTTTTTTTAAAGAAAACCACATCAAGCCTAACTCTGGCCTTGTTACTACAGTCTGCGTATGTGGCCAGAGAGGGGCTCAAGGCACCACAAACAAGACTGGGGGCCATTGGCTGGCTACTCCTCGTTAAAGGAAACTTGCTGTGAAAAAACCCAATCACTCTTTTAATGACTTGAACAAAGTTTGATGTCAGCAAGTCTGAGGCCCATTTTTTCACAGGGAATCAAAGATCAAGTGGTCAAGGCAAAGTGCTACAGGTCAGGCCATTTTGCAGCTGGAATCAGTGCTCCTGTAGAGGCTACAGGATGGGCAGCTTCATGGAAGAACTTTCTTGCCCAGATACTCATAGCATCATATGGTTTGAAGCGCCCATGGCAACTTTAAGATATGTGGACTTTCAGACTTCCCCAGCTAGCCTTGCTGGCTGGGGAATTCTGGGAGTTGAAATCCACACGTCTTAAAGTGGCCAAGGTTGAGAAACACTAGCCCAGAGAAAGGGAGCTCCTCTTCTAAGCAACTGATTTGACTGTCAAACCCATCTTAGCAGTTCCACAGGAATCTGCCTTTCTGTAATTTAAATCTGTGATGCTTTATCCTCTAAGAAGATTTTAGTTTTCTTTTGTGTGAACATCCCTTCAGGTATTTACAGAGTGTCTTCATTTCAAAGCTAAACTTACCCAGTTTCTCTCTACACTGGATTTTGTTTCTGCTCCTTTAGAATCTACGCCATCTCAGTGTCTATCACCTTAAACTCAAAGGCAGGTGCTGAAGATCACACATTTCATAGTGAGCTAAGAAATAATATTGTGGCACAACCAGCGTTCTCTAAACTCATCTTCTGCAGTTGCTCGTGATTTTGGCTTTGCCTCCATTTTCAGTATGCAGCCCCATAATGCAATTGCATCAGACACGGACGTCTGCACGCATCCAAATCATAAGCAAACAGGCGAAGCGTGTTTAATTAGAAAACATATCCTTGCAATCAAGCTATCCTGTCTTGCAAAAGGAAAACTATATACACAGAAACCACCACGGAGATGTGACTTTTATCTATCCTAAGTCGTATAATGGAGGCATATGACCAAGAGGCCCCTGTTTAAATCTTAAAAGCCTTGGGGCTGGGGGAACAGCATCTTTATCCTACTGCTAACTAGACCGCTCTGAAAAGTGTTGCCTTAAAAGACGGAGGTGATGGAAAAAGTGCCATGCCAGATTATGAATGGGGACTCAGATTCAAATCCTTGTTCCTCCATGAGGCTTGCGTCAACTTCACAGGCTTGTTGTAAGTAAAAAAATGGGTAGGTAGGATAGAGGTATGTGTCAACTTTCAGCTCTCCAAGGAAAAATGAGATATAAATTAATACGTTTATATACAAGGCTGTCCCTTTTCCCCAGAGATGAGGAGGAAGAGGAGGACCATTAAAAATGGGGGCGGGGGGTATGGATACCACCCAGGGGTATTACAGTTGCTGATGTACAGCCAGAAAGGGAATACTACTGGTGGTTTCAATTGCAAGCAAGGTCTCTTCTTGCAGTATGAAGAGGCCCTACAACCTAATAGAATGAGCATTATAACAAATGGGTGAGGTTGGTCAGTCCACTGGGATTTCTTTCTGGCCATGCCAAACAGATCAAAATACTCAACAAGAAAACAAACAAGTAGGTAAGCAAAGCATTGGTTGAGTTTGTGTATCAGTAAGAAAAAAAAATCATTTCTGGAGGCAGAAGCGTCTGGTGGTCATGTTGCCCACGTCCCCAGCCAGCTGAGCTGATTCTTAAGGTAAAGGTGGAATTCGCTGTGAATATGGACAAGATCTACAACAATGGTTTGGAATTCTTTGGACAGAAGTAAACTGAGCTGGAGAGGCATATCATGGCACAGTGGTTAGAACACCAGAGTAGGAATGGCGAGATCTGAGTTCAAATGTCACCTCAGTCACAAAACTCTCAATCTACCTGACAGAGCTGCGGCAAGGATAACGCAGACCGGATAGTCTGAACTTTATATAGTCTGTGGGATCTGTTGGACTAGAGACCCACAGCCTATCTAACCTGGCTCAGGTCCCTTGGAGGTTTTTTTCTGGGACATGAATGCCACTGGGGCCTCAGCTTTAGCCATTGAGGGTTTGAACAAATGGATGGTTTGATCTTGTATTAATATATCTAATCCCCTTTAAAACCATTTCTAACAGAATACATACTACTATTATTTTAAGACACGCTTTAGTCGCACTGGAGTTAGCAAAGCAAAGTGCTTTGTTCAGATCCAGCCCATAAATAAAATTACCAACAGCCCTCTCCATTCCAAATGTACCTTGGATTCCTTTCTTGCCTTGGCTTGCTTCCAACTCGCCTCCCAGTTGCTATCTTGAGAGCTTCCAGTTTCCCTGTTCTTCTTCTTTTTCTTGATCTGATGTTCTTGGCTGTCCTCAAATTGGTCATTCCTCACAATGCAATCTTGTTCCATTTTGGCCTTTTTTGCTTTCTTCCTCTTTTCTTTCCCTCCTGGTGCTGCCACCTCTGACAAGATGTCTTGGCCACCCTCTGAAAAATGGCTTACATCTCCAGCTTCTCTTGTCTTCTTCTGCTTCTTCTTCGCTGGTTTATTAACTTCTTTAGGGACCTTGCCAACCCCCAGTCCTGTTTTAGATTGGCATTTAACACTGCCATAGTTTTTGTGATTCTTGGCTAAGGAGGAGAGGGAACCAGTATTTGCTTTCTTCAGCCGCTTCTTCTTCTTGATGGCTTTACTACCTTTTTCTGAGCTACAGACCAAATCCTCCTGCCACTGCATATGACCGTCCCAACTCTGGGCATCTTGTAACTTGCTGACAGAGTTGGCAGTGCCTTCTTTTGAAATGCCATTGCTATTCTCTTGATTGCCCATGTGGTAGTTACGGTGTTTCTTTTTGACGAGAACACCGTCACCCACAGCCTTCTGGCCAAGGGTTCTTCTCTTTTTCTGACTGGAGAATAGCATTTCTTGGCAATCGGCTTTCTGTTTTCCTGAGATCTGTTTCGCAGACTCTTCACTGTCACCACTATGTAAACTCAAAGAGCAAGTAGGTTTGTGTTTTCTTTTTTCCTTTGTCTTCTTCTTCCTTTTCATCATCAGTTCTTCAACCTGCTCCTCAACTTTAAGAATATTCCTGTTGCATTTTTTATTCACATGAAAATCAGCACCAGGCTGCCCTTCACCCAGAGCCTCATAATCTTGGACTTGTTTATAAGAAAGCTTTCTGTCTTTCTTTTTTTTGAACACCTTAAGTCTTTTCCTGGTGCCTCTTAACAATTCTGAATCGGAGTTGTTTTCTATAATCATGGGAGACCTTGAACGTGCTTTCTTCTTTGATTCAGAGTTACTCTGTTTCTTTTTCTTCTTCGGGCCTAGCAGTTCTGAACCCATTCCTTTTACCAAGCACTTCTTCTTGTTCGGCTTGACTCTTATGGCTAAATCTGAATAGCATCCTTTCTTAGTGCTTTCAATTATAACAACCTGGCCACAATTAGGATCTGTAGCTTTGTTCTTTTTCCTTGCTGTTGGTTCAGAATTCTTCATATTCTTTAAAACTTTTCTGGGGGCGAAAAATCCACAAGAGATAGAGGTTCTAGATACATGATTACCACAGCGGGTGACAGACCTCTGCTTACCAAGTAGTAAATTTATCACAGCAAGTATGGAAAGTCAATTGTTTTAAATGGAATGCTAAGCAGAGGCAGATTTCTTTCCAAACTACATTTCTAACCCCAAAGGAAATTCAGGGGAATATTCTCCCCAGCCACAAGGGACTGGCTTACTGAACAATTCTATGTATTCAATAAATAACATCTCATTTAGCGTTCAGGTGGTGAAATACTGACCACAGCAGCCTTCCTCAGGTTTGATTTTCTACTCTGAGTCTTATCATCACAATGGTCCTGTGAGAAGTCAGCTTCATGGCTGAGGAAGGATTTGAACCTACATCTCTCCATGGCTGGCTGGGGAATTCTGGGAGTTGAAGTCCACACGTCTTCCAGTGGCCAAGGTTGAGAACCCCTGCCCTAGAGCATAAAGGAGCTCCAACTGCAATGATAGTAAGGCAGTGCTACCGAGTGCAATTATTGCAAGGCAGACTGCAGTCTCTCGCAGAAAATACTACTTTACAAACGCTGCAGAATACATCCACTGTAAAAATGTATTCATGGAGGGAGCTGAACAGACCGCTTTACCACCCTCCCACCCCGCAACTGCATCAGAGTCCAACTGCTCTGTAACCAAAGGCACTCTGCACAAGCCCAGAGGCACTCGCCTACAAATGGCCCCTTGCCAGTCCCACAAAGGCTCGGGGAACTCTTCCCCAACCTGGCGCCCTCGAGTCCAGCTTGAACCACCCGCGGAAGATCACCCGGCCCCCCCCAGCCCGGCTCCGTCACACGCTCCGTCTCTCCTTCCCGGAGCCGCCCCACTCACCACTCGCCCCTTCCCACGCGGCCGCGCGGTACCCCACACTTCCTCTCCCGCGGGCGACGGGGCAGTTCTCCCCGCCTCGACCCGGAAGCGAAAATGCGGCGGGCTCGGCGTCGCCCAGCGACGCGGCTGCGGTCGCCTAGCAACGGCTTCCTCGCTCGCGCCCTTCCATGGCGGCCGTCGCGGAGGAGCCCCCGCTGCGGAGCCTCTGGGAGGAAATCTGCGCAGGTGGGGCGCCGGGGACGGAAGTCGCCGGGCGGGGGCCTTCTGCTGAGGGGCCTTTGCCGGGGGAGGGGGAGACGGGTCTGTCCCCCGGGGGGAAAGTATCCCAAATCCTGAATGGATTTAGGGCTCCTGGCTGCAGGACTGGGGGTGACCAGCAGGTGGCGGCAGATAGACCCGGGAGAATTGGCCGGACTTTCGTCGAGCATCCAAAGCCGAGAGCAGCGCAGCTTGCGCCTCCAAAGGGCGTGCGCGCGCATGCAAACGGACGTGCCACACAGTTCCTCCTTAGGGAGGAAAGGCTGAGTGGGGACAGAAAGAGAGGTCCGTGCGCACAGATTTTATTGGAATTAGCCAGAGCCCCCCAAAGCAGTGAGAGAGCCCGGTTTGTTTCAGCTTTGGTTATTGCAGTGTTCCTCAAACTTGGCCACTTGGAGACATGTGGACTTCAACTCCCAGAATTCC